CCAGAGAGACAGATGGCTTAAAGATACAGTCCCTCGGGGGTTCCCTCCTGCTTCTTGTAGAGAACATTCTCTTTAGACTTTTTGAAGTCTTCATTTGTTACTTTCATTCGCCGTTCCCTCAACGCCATCAGTCCAGCTTCTGTACAAATTGCCTGCCACAGAGGAAGGAGGAAAAGGTTACTACCTCTGTGCAACCCCGTCGGACCAGGCCTCAGAAGATGGCAGCACCTTCATACTGCGCCAGGAGACCCCACAGGAGAAGTGTCAACAACTTCCAACGTTCTTAAGCCTGATGCTGTTCAGTAGCACTGCAGCATGGAAAACAGTGAGGATGAAGACACAAGTCTGCCCTTCTGCAGTCAGAGTGACATGTCCCTGACAGAAAGGCAGCTCATGAGTGCGTTAACTCCAGCAAGGGCTCTGCCTGCTTCAGAAGAGCACACCATGTGTGTCTGAAGCTGCCTGACAGAGAGTTGTGTTTTCACCTGCTTTCAAGGTAGTCTCTAAAATTGCTTCTCATCCTGCACTGTCTTGACTAACGCTTAAGATAGCTTGTGTGTTTGTGCAAGATTCCACGTTCCACTTCTAGTTTCCACTTTGCCACTTATAAAATTCCCCATGCAGATAACACAGGTACGCACTCTTACCAACACAAGCTACCTCATAATTACAATTTTGATAAATTTCCCATTTTTAAAGCTGAGTATGTGGCACTCATAAAAGGCAAGCCATCCAGTTTTCCCTCAGTGGTGTAAGCACAGGTAATGAGAGAACAATCTCGACAGACAATGTTTCTGGATGCAGTAAAAATGAGATTTGATTTGTGAAGTATAAACAATGGTGATGTACACTGACCTTAATATCTGCACCGCTGAGGTCATCTTTTGCCATAATCAGCTCATCCAAAGTCACGTCATCTGCCAACGTCATCCTACTTGTGTGAATCTGAAAGATTCGTTTCTTGGTCTTTTCATCAGGTAGAGGGAACTCTATTTTCCTGTCAATACGTCCTGCGCAAAAGAAAAGTTCAATGTTAGGTTTTTGCAGGCAGCTGTTGGACACGGAGCGGGAAGAACATTTCAAGGTTAGACCGACAGTAACTGTTTCTTCACATCACAATTAATCACATCTTAGAGTAGAAAGAACAGACTATTTGCAAGGAGCTGAAAGGTACCATGGTGCCGGAAAGGCTGATGTCGTGGCAGGTAAGAGAAACCTCACCTGGGAAACACGAAAAACCTTTCTTTAGTCACATATAAATGTGAAAAAAAAACCCAACATGTCATAGCACAGAAAAGTATTAATCAAATACTTACATTCTTGTAATAAATTTTATTCTACTCCAAGATTATATTTAGCTCTGAATTTTAATTTTCTGCTGTATATACACCACAGAATAAATCACTATAGCAACTTGAACTCTTTCTTCCTATATAACCAACCTCAAAAACCCACCTATAACTGAAGAAGGGAGGTTTTGCATAAATAGCTCGATTGCAAGTCCCTACCAGATGTTTCCTTCGTCTCAGGAGGGACTTTGGATGTTCTGGTACCAATTGTTCCAACTTCAATGAGCAATCTTTTTTTTTTTTCCTTTTGTTTTACAGTATCTTTTCCAAAACCAGCTGATGGCACCGCATGGGATATTGCAGACTATTGTCCACAAGGGTACAGTGGCTAGAAGTGCCCTGGCTGCCCAAGCAACGGCTCTAATTTAAATATGCGACAGGTGTAGGACATTTCCTTCCACGAACTTGCAGATCATCTTAGCTTGTCTTTTCATAGTGGTAGAGCAGTATCTGTCTCTGTACTCTAACAGCCCTGGCTTTGATTGGGAGGGGTAGAAGGCTTAGATAGTGACAAAAACAGACTCTTCTAGAAAAACCCACGAACACAGCTCAGCAACGTGATATGGTGAAACTGTGGGTTTTTTTCTTCTCTAAACATCTTGGGTCCATGCAGTCTAGTGACTATTCAGAGTAGTTCTTTGACGATTTAGTCTTAAATTATCTTTGCTCTACTCTTTTACTTTAGGAGGAGTATCTTTACAACCTCTTCAATACTTCAGACTTTATCTGAGGACAGTAACAGAAGGCTCAGTGCATTCCTCTGATCTCTGTGTTGCTTTGTACCTTCTGATTAACAGACCCCACAGACATGTTTCAGTACATTTATAGTGGCCATTTAAAAATGGTACCTGTGCCTGTTCAAGCCCTTGGCTCAACATGCAACACTTGTATCAAAATGCAGTTCCTATCTTCCCCCTTGCTCATGCCCCAAATGGCAGCAGCCCGCTGGCTCCGCAGGGCAGTGGGCTGGTTTCCTTGCTTCAAGTCCAGGCTCTCCCTGCCCAGGTCTCGCCTACGAAACACACACGGCACTGCCCAGGCTTCCCTGCCTGCTGGGGACGGTAACAAAGTGCTGCTGATGTGCTACAGCCTTCCTTCACAATTACTCAAAATAGCTATGCCACCTTAATACAAAGGAAGAATATTTTTTTAATGTATATATAAGAGAAATTAACCCATCTCTTCCATAGCTTTTTCTCCCATTAGGAAGCTTGCGAAGGGGATCCCATTTTAACAGATAGACCAACGCCGATGAACGAAGACAAACCAGTAACTTGCATTCTTTTTCCCAGCCCATGTTTGACAAGTCAGGACAAGTCCTTTCACAAGAAAAGTGATTTATACATACATGGCCACAAGTCTCTCACCTGGCCTAATCAAAGCTGGGTCCAGTGTTTCTATTCTGTTTGTAGCCATGATAACTTTAACATCCCCTCGAGAGTCAAACCCATCCAGCTGGTTCAATCGTGCGCTGGATCTCTCTCTCGCCACCTGAGTTTGAATCGTACCTTTAAGAAAACAACAGTCAAGCACTATGCAAATTTGATAATACCCTCCACCGCAACTGTCACAAACCCATTAAAATAATGTGGTGTGGTGGGTTTTTTTCAAACATCCATAACCAATGTATTTTTAATTTCATTTAATGTTCACCCACAGAAAACAAAAAGCAGGTTTTCAGATTCATATTGTGACATCTATGTAAGCAGACACTGAACTATTCTTGTAGGTGGGGAAAGTAACAACAATCCTGTGAAGGAAATCTGTCCTCTTTTCAAGCTTGTTATGTACTGGGGAATCTCATTCCACCCCCTCAACAAAATTAACAAATTAACATTAAAAAAACACCCTAATTCTTAAATAAAGCACATAAATTCATCAAAAATACAACCTGTCACTCATTTTTCCACTTCAGTTATGACTGTTCACCCTTTAGCCTTACTAATGGGGATCCTGGTTTAACTCTGCTCTTTCTGAAACGCAAGTACCAGGGCCTCTTATTTCTCTGCTTTGTAGCTTGGCTACTTTATTTTCCTAATATCAATGTAGATAACCTACATCCAAAACAGCTCATCCATGTTTAGGAACAGTTAGAAGCAACGTAACATTCATGAGGAATTCCATATCTTTAGGTATTACCAGCCTCAGTCCAATCCTTTCTACCTGTGCTGAAATACACAGGGCAGAGGCGGCCTTACCCTGGTGCTTCAGGCCAGCAGCTGTGCAGGACTAGGCATGAGCACCTTTTCCTTTACTTAAAAAAGACATGACTACTTTAAAGACTACTTGCACTGGACAGTTCCAGCTCGCCTACAGAATTTTCAAAGTGATACAAGCTGACCAAGTTACAGGTGGCACAGGGTATGCTTCTGCATGACACTTCACTCTAATTCACGAAGTAATACGTAAGTATTTAGCCACCTACTTGGATGCAAACAACAAGTAGATTTATTCTCTACTGAAGACACTGCTTTACTGTTGAATCACTACAGTCCAATTACTGTACATTTGGATTTGCACTTAGAGGACACCATGTGAACTTACATGCAGTGTCTCTTTCTGTTCAAGACACTCTATCACAGATAGAGATGCTATCAGGTACCAAGAAACCAGAATTAAGTTAAGTCTCTGGTCATACCTATTTAATAGGAAAAAGGTTGTGACACATTTTAGTTTCAAAGAAGTTATTTGAAGTTTTACTTATTAAAAATGCTTACACCAAAAAGAGTTATTATGAAAATGGCAGCAGACCCAAGAAACTGAGTATCAATACGGTTGCAAAAGAAGTGTTTCTAGTAAACCTTTTTTGCCCTGGCAACACTGGTGAGTGAAGCGGGAGCCGGAACGCTGTACCTCTTTGTCCCGATGGCATCGATTTCATCGATGAAGACAATCGACGGAGCGTGCTCTTCAGCCACACGGAACAGTTCGCGCACAAGCTTCGGACCGTCACCCAAATATTTCTGTATCAGCTCCGAACCAACCACTCTCAAGAAGGTTGCTGAAGTTTGGTTTGCCACTGCTTTGGCTAGTAAAGTTTTACCTGTTTTATTTGGAAAGAAATAGTGTCATTAGTTTGCGGGTATTTGGGTCGTGCGAAAAATCCTTTAACTAAACAACTGTGTGATGTTTGTGACAGCCGTGACAATGCTGCAATGCCAGCCAAGCGCAGTTTATATTGCTTGTGTTAGCTCGAGACAGCTGTTACGGTACCTGTGCCAGGGGGGCCGTACAGAATGACTCCTTTGGGTGGCTTTATACCCATCTCTTCGTAATATTCAGGATGGGTGAGAGGAAGCTCCACAGACTCCTGCAGCACAAAAAACAGAAACCAGAGTTTTTATAAAGAAGTTTTGTGGTGATCTCGAGGAGAGCATTAATAGAAGTAACAAGAATTGTAACTGACTTCAAGACAGACCCCTTGAGAAGTATGTCTCTAAGGCAAACAACTACTCTATCTGAGCAGCGTTTCTTATTGTTTCCACTTGCTATGTGGAAGAGTAGCAGCATGTATTCCCCCTCCTCCAACCCAAACGAATTTAGAAACCTGGAATTTCTGGCTCATGGATGACTCTGGGGTGGGGAGGCCCTTCATACAAGGGTGCCTTCTACCACAAGTTACCAGATACTACAGATCAATATCTTAATGCCATTTGTGGTTTTGGACACCTACCCAAAGCGAAAGGGTTAAGTTTCACCAGGCTTCAGACAGAGTAGGAAAAAACCCAATCAACCAACAAACAAATGCAAACACAAAACAAGCCAAAATAAACCCCTAGCCACTAAGTCCTCAGACCGCACAGCATCAGACATTCAAAACAACCTCTTCACTATTTGCAACCTAACTCTGATCTTGCAACACCACTGACTTTACACGTTACAAAATAGCAAGTTATTGCAGGGGCTTTTTAAACTCGAGGCTCTGCAGGTCCCACAGCAACTGTGAAAGGTTTCACACCAATTGGGACTGGTGTGTTACCCACTAAGAGTTAGGTTCATAGGCCTGGCTCAGCAAAAGCAAATCAAGAAACGCACAACCGCAAGAGACAAACCAACACGTTACACTTTTGAGCTTCCAGCACAGCAGCTGCATTGCCAGCTTGCTTAAAAGTGTAAATTAGCCCAAATACCTTGATTTCTTGAATCTGGTTGTCAAGGCCGCCAATGTCAGCATATGTTTCTTGAGGAGCTTTCTCCACTTTCATCACAGTAACTAGAGGGTCTGTGTCATCCATCAGGACTCCTATCACAGCATGAACCTGATTCAAACATTAAGAGTTGTCAAAGCAAGCAAGCAACATTATTTGCACAAGCTCAAGCCTCACCCCAATGCCCATCTATTCAGGTGTGCGAAATGACCAGTGTTAGCTCTCAGCCTCTATGATCCTGTGATTCTCAGAAAAAAAAAAGCCAATTAAAATCATAAAAAACTTTATGCTTCATTTTATAAAAATAAGTCACCTTATGATTTAGCAAAACAGAGCAGCCTGGCTCCAGCAGATCCTTGTCCACAAAAGACAGAATACTGACGTAATGTTCCGATCCCACTGACGTGGACACGATAGCGTGGTTGTCATCAATGATCTCCTCCAAGGTACCCACAGACATCGGTGTTCCCCTCAGATCATCCACCTTTGATCTTTCTTCCTGTTGTCAACAAGAATCCAAGAAACAACTCAAGAACACAGGCAAAAACATTTTTGTACAACACTGAACAGGACAAAACCAGCCTTTGCTACTGTTGTGTCAGTGCCCAAAAGGCATAAAAGCATCATCTGGCAACAAAATTCAACATTAAAGTCCCATCCTATGGGCACTACTATATGGACATGCAAAATTAGAATATTCTTTCTTTCTCTATTGATGGGTATCTGGGAGCTGCACTTTGACAGACCACTAACAAACCAAAAAACCCACTGTGGCTTCATCTGTAGTAAGCAATGCTTGGACTAAAACTACTAAACTGCTAAAAAAAAATCTGTTTTCTGGACAGTAACTGAGATTTAATGAAGAACTGTAATATGCGCAATACATTTGTATTGACTTACGCATTCATGGGCACTTTATTTCCATTGCTTTCATATGAACTAGTTTACACGAGAGCACTCACTGTAATGTCAGAAATAACAGTTCACTCAAACCTCACCTCTTGCTTTTCTTCCAAAGGTTTCATCTGTTCTTGATTTCTGATAAATTCTTCCTCCATTAAGAGGTAATCTTTAATTCTCTCCAACTTCAACAATTTGAGTCTGCACTGTGTGTGAGGAGTCACTGCAATCAAAGTAGAATCAGAGCGTTTTGGACTGAATTTAACGTGGTACCAACTATTCACTAATTCATTACTGGAAATTCTACTTTATTTTCTGACAATAACTTCTATATGAGCAGCGGTCACTACTTTACTTGTCCCACTGCAATTCTAAGTAAAACATTTTTAAGGATGAGGTTTCCCCTGCATTTTTTCTAATTTCAATTTCTCTCTTTCTTACCCAGGAATTCATGGGCTGCATCTTGCAAAAGAATAATCTTATTTTGCTTTTTTATTACACTAATTAAAATAAAATTGCATTTGACCTTCTGTTTAATCATCAGTGGCCCACACACAGCCAGATCTAGGGGAAAGGACAGCTCTGCGCTTCTTGAAGAGCCAACAGTCCACAGGACTGCTGGGGCAGGCAGAATGCTTACCCAGGGGGAGTTTGCTGGCAGCATCTGGTCCCTTTGTTTTCTTCTTCTTTTTCCCCACTCTGGTTGGAACTGGAGGTTCATATTTCTTCTTCTTATCCTTATTCATAAAAAGAATTTCATGGAAAAAAAAAATAACAATGAAAAAATACACAGAGAAGGGCCCACAGACTGAGAGAGCTCAATTTAAGCTGAATGGCTACATAACAAAACTGTCTCCTTTATGATACGCAGCTGGAAGCCCAAACAAAATACTGTTCTTTTTTAAGTTCAAAAAAATCTGTCTCCTGCTTATTTTACATGCTTCTTTTTAATTTAATGATTTCTGCCAATTTTCAGTGAACACAGAACATGGAAGGCTAAAGGCTGAAGTAAATAAAAGCAAAAAGTAAATAAAAACTCATACATGAAAGGATGAGGAAAATACTGAATCTGCACGTTTCTGTTTCATTCTAATCAACAGGTAACTCGTGCTCAGTTTGCCACCTCAGATATAGCTTGTCTTGTACATCCTACCTCCAGCTCCAAAGGAAACCGGAAAGGCCTTTAACGGTCCACAACATGAAGTACGGACTTCATGCAGATGGCAGCATTTTCACACCAAAATCAGTTACTTAAGTGACAGCTTGAAGGCAACCAGTCTCTCCTAACCCAGAGAGATTAACAGTTTTATGTTTCTAAAAAATAAACTACTACTGTCAAAAAGATCAGTTTTCCTCTACAGCTAAGCCCCCTTTCCTGTTTTCAAACAGCAATCTGTTCTCCCCAGTGCACATCCAGAAGAGTTAAGGCATTTCATCAAAGCTAGTAAGAGCGTAACTCTACACAGTTCCAAGCACACAAATGAAAAAAAAAAAAGAAGGTAAAATAAAATCTATTACAGCCAGTTTCTGTAGTACCACACCTGTAGCTCCTCCTACAAGTAAAAGCATTTGTTTTTCTTACCTTGTCATCCTTCTTGCCACCACCGGGACCATGTCCTCCACTCTGACTTTGACCCTAAGGAAAAAACCAAACAAACCCAACAGCCACATATAAGCACACTATTAGAATCACAGAATGTCTTAGGTTGGAAAGGACCTTAGAGATCATCTAATCCAACCTCCTTGCCATGGGCAGGGATGCCCTGAACTAGAGCAGGTTGCTCAGGGCCTCATCCAGCCTGGCCTTGAGTCTCCGGGGAGGGGCCATCCACAACCTCTCTGGGCAACCTATTCCAGAGTCGTGAAACCTACGGGCAGTCCCATGTAAAGAAACACCATAATTAGATTTCTCCCATCTAAACAAAGTTATCGGTATATTCCAATCAGTTGTTAAAATTCGTCTAGAGTTATGACATGGCAGGACTCACTCCTTGCTACTGCGAATCCCCGAGCCCCGCTAAGGAAGGCCTGTCACGGGCAGCCTCCTTCGCTCTCCTGCCGGCCA